TTTAAGGAGCTCGGTTTATTTTCCAGGAAGAGGATTTTAAAAAGCCAAGAGGAGTTTGAGTGTAGCTTTTATTTGTATGTTTTAAGGTAACGTTACAGAAAATGTTGCCTTGTGTTTATATTGTTAAAATTGAAAAACTTTTGGAACAGAAGTTGTTGAACACGTTCGTTCTTAAAAACCACTTCTTACCCTGCCACCGTAACAGAACTACTTGTTTCCAAATTGTAGTTCTGTGACTTCTAACCAGAATCCGTAGATTATTTCATGTTTGATTACTCTTCTAAAAGAATTTGTTAAATTCTTTATTGAAAATAAAGCATTATTAATGTCATCCTCCCTACAGTTCCCACAGTAGCAAACCTTTGAGAATAGCAGTAAGGAGCTGAAGGTTGTTTCTTTCCCCCAAAATATTTTATATAAGCACTTTAATTAAGGTTGCTGGTATGTGCAGTACTGTATTATGTCCTAGGCCCACAATATTATCATTATTGATCTACCATTTGGAAAATGCAGATGTTCTGTACTTGGACTTAGAGAATCCTAAAATTAGATTTTCCGACCTGCTATGATCCAAATTCTTTATTTTGTAGACTAGGAAAACAGAGTCCAGGGAAGTTGAGTGGTCTCAAGTCAGCGTTTGGACAACTTGCAAAGCTTCTGTTGATACACAGCATTTCAGGAAAAATTGAACTGTATAAGAGAAGATCTACATTTTTATTAGCGTCCTTTATAAAGTATGGTTAGATACATTTCAAAGTTTTGAAGGAGCACTAAAGAAAAGAAATATCCGACAGTCAACCAGATTTCATAACCCAAAGATTTTCATCTTTCTGTTACATTCAGTTTCTTACACATTAACGTGACTCGTAGATGACACCTTGGAAAAAGTAAGATTAGGAAGCTACATATCATAACCTTGGAGTCACTGTTAACTGCTGTTTCTTGTAAGAATTAAGAATTATTTAGGGCAGAAGGAAAAAGAGTAGAATAGCATGATGAAGTAGAAGAAAGTTTAATACACAGAAATGCATACCTTAACGTGGTAAAAGTGGAAAGCCCTTAACTTTATAGAGGCATTAATGATTTAGACAGGCAGTCCTAGACTTCGCCAGAAAAAAAAAGTGCAAACCTGAGAGCTAAGAAGACCCTTAATGCATTTTGAGACAAAACCGAACAGGAACTTTGAAAAAAGACCATCTAATAGGCCATTTCAAACTGGAAGCGATTCTCTGGGCTTTAGCTTTAGAGTAATGCAAGTCATTGTGACTGGCAGTTTATTTTACTGATGTCAGATAAGCCACCCCAGCACATCTAGAGTTGCCTGGATTTTGTTGTCCTGAATAAGATTGGGATTTTTTGCAGGACCTAAGTGACTATTACCGCTATTCAGAATGCTGCAACTGTGTTTCTTCAGTCTCTCTGTGGCTATTTTATAGCTTTTTGGAATCATGTCTTTACATTTGTTTCTCCCACACTGAATGTGAACTCCTTGAGATCATCATTTATTATTTCCTACCTCTTTTATTCAGCATCTTTGATTTTAAGCTACAGAAACTCAAATCAAAGGAGTATGAGCCAGTCAGAGGAATATGCTGATCTTCATCCCCAAACTGGCGAGAGGGTAGAACAGGAGTCCCCCTTAGTGAAAGTTTAATTGAGAGACTGGGTATGACTCCTTAGTATGAGCACAGTATTTAAGAATACGATTTAAGAAATGGATTTTAGAGCCAGACTGCCTGAAGTGAAATCCTACCTTTGCCACTTACCAGCTTTATCACTTGGGCAAGTTATGTTACCTTTTTTCGTTTCAGTTTCTAAATCTATAAAACAAGCGTGTATATATGTCCCCTACCTCATGGGGATTTTTCTGAATATTAAATGTTACCATATGTTAAGTACTTAGAACAATGCTTTACACAAAATGGAAGCTCTACGAATGTTTGTTATTATTGTATTGCTGTTTGTCTACTTCCATCATTCCAGTTGTACTCTGAGTTACTCAAGGGCAGAGGCCAAGTATTATTCATCTTCGTGCCATCCCACTTGACACAATTTCTTGCACATAGTAGTTCTTTATAGTGTGCTTACTGAATACATGAATTTGATTCCGTTTACCTCCCATTGAGCAACTCAGAAATTATCATCTTTTCTGTTTTAGAAATGAACACAGTGCGGCTCAGCAGTAAATTACCAAAGATGATACAACTAAGGAGTAATAGATCTAAATAAGAAATCAGGTGTGTTGGCTACTAGTAGTTTAGTGTTCTCTTCATTATCTGAGGTATGGGAGTAGGTTTTATCGCTCATGTCAACTCTGGTTGATTGGTAGTCATTTCCTGCAACACTCTGTTGAGAATTCTGAAGCTACATTCAAACTTTGCAAGAAAGAATACCCTATTGAATAAGCAATCACTGTAAGGTATGGGGTAGTATCAGGGTAGTACAACTTCTCTCTTTATACTACCCCCATGAGGAAAACATTGCAAATTATATTTTTTGCCTAAAAATGCTCTATATTTTTTCTTGTAATTTAGGAGGTTGAATTAGTTCTTAACAATGGGAAGAACCTACATTGTAGAAGAGACTGTCGGCCAGTATCTTTCAAACATCAGTCTCCAAGGAAAAGCTTTTGTCTCTGGTCTTTTAATAGGACAGGTATGTATCTTTTCCTATGTATTTACTGATAAAGCAAATTTGTTTATTTAAAGTTAAAATATGCTATTTAACAATAAATTCAAGTTAGGGGATGGAGGGATAGAATGAAGAAGAATAATGTAGCCCAGGTTTGCCCAAGTCAGAACACATTCCCTTTTGACAATGTAAAAGTAACTTATAAGGTAGACACTGCAAAATTAGAATTTTACTGACCAGATTATTCATGTTTTATTGTCTTTCCAAAGTGATTTTTGCACCCCTTTAATCTTTAATTCCAGGTTGTCCCATTCTTTACAAAGGTAGCTTTTTACAATTTTATTTCTAGTTTGTCGTATTTCAGACTTGTAGCAAATATAGGTCGTATATTTTATTGTATATTATCATACCCATTTATTGAATTTTTTTTTAATATTGATTCAGTGGAGATTGAGGGAAAGGGACTGAGAGAAATTTGGACGTTACACAAATTTTATTTCCGTCTTAGAGTTAAGGCTCAAAAATCAAACCAAATGGAACAGATATTTGGACAGTTACTTTAAAAAGCATAAGCACCCACTGATTTATTATAATTGAAGGAAGAATGTGTTAAGCAGCAGGGAGGACTTGTCAGCAGTACACAGAAATGAAAAAAGGAGAGTCACACAAACAAACTGGCTACATACATCTAAACACTGTTTAGGGGAGAGTGTACTCTGGTCCAAAGATTAATTTTGAGGCCTAATAGCAAATAAAACCCTATTGGGGGCAGATTTCTTTCTGGATATTTTAACATGATGCCTTAGAACCTTCAAATTGGATAATTAACTTGTTCTGATTCTATCCACATTCCCAAGCTACTTTCTCATAATTTGATGCCTTATGTTGCCTACTTATAAAGAATGCACCATGCAGAGGACTTACATGTTCACATCCCTTCATGGTATTCTAGTTTTAGCATCATTCTGAATGATCTTAGGTAATGTTAGTGTAGCCCTGAGAGACAGGTACATTCTCAGAGTTTTCACAAATCCGATTTCTTAACTTGTAAGACAGAGGGCAGACCCTGCACTGTTCACCCAGGTAATACCACCCTCTGAGGCTTCTCATTAGACAGCCAGACGACCTCTCCTGGCAACAATCTGAACTTCTTTTAGATTCAGGTTACTTAACATCTAGTGTGGGGTTCTTTTTGCTAGGAACAGAAATGATCAGTAAAGGTGAAAGGTCAGGGAGAAATACCCTCTTCCAAACTTGCCTTACAGCACATAGGCTGTTTCTAGAGCTCAGCAAAACCACCATCTTACGTATAAGTCTCCCACAATTTAGGGAGAATTCCAATCTCTCTTCATGCTGCCTTTTCATTCCTTTCAGTATTCTACATGCTTCTTCTTTCTCTTTATTCCAGGATTCATCACTTTTCTTGCCTTCCCCTCAAGCTTTCAGGCTTGCCTGTCTCCTACTCCTAGGGTCAGTTTCTTTTTCTTTTCAAAATCATAGATTTTATGAAAAGAAAGAGCTTTCTTAATCAGCACCTACGTTTTCCTTTTGTGCACTTCAATGTAACCTTCTGGAAATAACTTTTATTGAAATACTTTCTCTTCCTTTATTTTCTGTTCCAGGATGACACTAGCGATTAGAATTTCAGGTCATGTGTGAGGATAACATCATGCTAACTTGTATTTTTACTCTTTCTTTATAGGAAATTTTCACTGTAATGGGACTGAGCTATTAAATTTTCCCTAAATTTATCTTTAGGTTTCCCACTTCTGGTTAGCATTTAATTGCTATTAAAACTGAGGAACATAAATCTAATATCACTTCACCTTTGTTTTTCTGTGGACACACATGAACAAGTTCCCCACTATCATTGTTTTTATGAAAGTAAGATGCACAAGGTCATTTGTTGCTTTATTTTATTGGGTTTTTATATTTGTTGAACTGTCTAATCTGTTCCAGTAAGCCATTTTAAGGACCACTGCATGATTCACATTCAGGTTGCCCAAACAAATAAGGAGCTGGTATTAAATATATTAAAAGATAAATAACATGTGAGGAAAATGTTGTAAGGCTATTCATGAAAATCATTTTCTCTGTAGATTCTGGTATAATACAGGTATTAACAATTTAAGCTGCTATAAATATTGCTCAGTTTTTGCACGTCATAAGGGCTTTGCATTCCTCAGTCAGTTATCACCCTAATAAGCTTTTCTAATTTGTTTTTAAGTGTTCTTCACAAAAGGATTACGTGATTCTTGCCACTAGAACGCCACCCAAAGAGGAACAAGATGAGAGCTCCAAACATTCCAAAGCTAAGTTGGATAACTTGGATGAAGAATGGGCCACAGAACATGCCAACCAGGTCATCACGTTTGTTTCTTTATATAGTTAAGTTTGTGTTTATTGACTAACAAAATAAAAGTACCTTATCCTCAGGTTACTAGACTAGGATTTCAGAGTACTCATTCTTAAGTTTTCAAAACTTGGGTAGTATGTCAAAAATAGAAGTATTTTCTGCTCTGTTTCCTCCATGATTATATTTTTTATTTATTGATTACTTGCATCTAGTTTTTAAAAAAGAATTTTCTTACTTGAAGTTAAGTAATCCACCCAAGATTAGTGTAATAGGTAGTGAAACTGGGATTTGAACCCAGATGGTGTGACTTGAAAGCCTTTGACCTTGTACACTATGCTTTTCCATTGTTAACTTTTATCTGTTGTGTTTTTTAACCTATATCCTGTTATTGGTCATTTACCTTATTTCCAATTTTTCCTTATTTTAAAATTATACTAGTTATTGGTAACATTGTTGCTGGTCAGATTGTTTTAAAGACTTAAACCAGGTACTGAGGAAATAAAATGATGGTTAAATTTTTCTTTAATGTCCTTAGAATTTATATTTTAAGCAAAGTGAAAGACATTATTACCAAAACAAATTGTAAGAGAAGTGAATAAAAATAGGACAGTACTATAGGAATATAGAGTGGGGAATGATTAAATATCTGTCAAAGGTTGGATTCAAACAGCTTCACAGAAGGCTCTGAACTTGAAAGATGAATAACACTTTGCTAGTAGAAGTCAGGGAGCACATTGAATGCACAAAGGACAGTGGATAAATGACCCAACGGCATGAAATTTAAAGGTATGTTAGAATAGCACGCAACTGGGTGTAATTGAAGCATGGTGTATATAAAAGGATGCTTTTAGACATAAGACTGTATGGGGCCAGTTTATGGATGGTTTTGAAGTGTCATTCTTCAAAGGAAGGAAGGAGTTCTTTTGGAGCCAGTAGCTCTATGGTAGACTTTCAGAGCTCCCTATTTTGAGAAGGATTGAGAAATAATCCTGCCAATAATTGAGAAAGTAATTGAGTGCCCTGGTACAGTGTAAATGGAGAGTAGAGGGATTGGAGAGAGAGAGAGCCGAAAATATAGTTACAGTAGTAGTTCAAAAAAAGGTGGCATGAGCTAGTGACTAGACTCTAAGCTTCCTGAGGATGGGGTCACGTCTTTTTTGTTTATGGCCATATCCTTAGTGCCAGGCATAGTGTTCCCATGGTTTATGATGAGAACTCCAAAATGTTGGATAAGTGAATGGATAAATAAGCAAACTAAAGCAGTGGGCTAAAACTTCATTGCCAAAACATTTCAGAGAAAGAGCTAGTATTAAGATGATTCAGTGACCAAGTAGATTGGCAGTAAAAAGAGACTGTGAGAGAGTTGCTAAAGATTATTGAGATTTTTTTTTTTAGCCTGTGTCTAGGAAGATGGCGTTGCCATTACATGAAGAGGAAGCAGATTTGGGGTGAGTCAGAGAGAATGATGAGTAAATTCACTTAAAAGTAGTTATTGAATGGATTATATCATCCAATAAAGTATGTTAAAGTAAGGTAAAAATTATTTCCTTCTCCAATTATCTTTAAATCTTCAAACACACACACATGTTTATCTGCATTTGTGATGGGGGGTAGTATGTAGTTATATTTTTGAAAAATGCAATATTTAATACCATCTTCTAATGAACTATTAAATATTTTAAACTTATATTTCCAATGGTTTGTAAATAACTTTCTACTCTAATTTTGCTTTTGGCCTTCTGTAAAATTACATACCTGTATCTATATCTATGTCTAGTCTATATACATCTATATACACAAACATAAAATTTATGTAGTAAAATAGATAATCTTTTTGCCTCTAGCAAGAAATGGTTAATTTTATTTGTTGATGATTTTGAAAAGATGTGCAAGTTCCCCATGCTAAGTATGAAAACTTTATTCCTTATTTATGTATGTCAAGCTTGTGTCGCTGTAGTAAATAGAATTTATGAAATCAGAGGGAACCACCAGCAGACATAATACAAATATATTAGGGGTTAGACTATGGTATCTAATTTTCTGAAGACTTAATTTTGTGATCAGTTTGCTCATACATTAAGTACATAAAAGGTAACCAGAGCACTATGAGTATAGATGGTAGAAAGGAATACATGTGGCACTAAGAACTAGCCACAATGATGTGGAAGGAAAATCACAGATATTATGCAGGACAAACTGGTAGGATGTGTCAAAATCCTTAAAAATATGTATGACCCTTTAACCTAGTTATCCACCTAGTTATCCACCTCAGGAGATTTATTATAAGCAAATAATCCTGTGAACACAGAAACTTGCTAGGATTTTTAACCAATATTATTTTAAGGTACAGAAAAATTGGAAATAATATAAATGCCCAATATTAATAAGAAGGTTTTAAAAACTGAGGTAAAGCTAAACAACAGGAAACAATGGCGTTTCAAGTTGGACCCCCTCTGCTCAAATCCCAGACTCTGCTGAATATTATAGGGATACAAAGGTAGTTGAGAATTAACTTCTTCCATTAAGGAGCTCTCAGATCAACTAGTAAGGTTCAGACATAACCATAGTACAGGTTCATGTGATAAGCTCCATGGGAAAACTACACTGAGGTCCTGCAGGAATTTGGAGATCAAAGGATCAGGGAAGGCAGCTTCCTCAAGCTGACTTCGAGGTATTCCGTAGAGTTCAGACATGTAGACGTGTAAGAGAAAGTCTTTTCAGGCTGAGTGAGCAGCCTGAGTAAAGGTATAGAGTTAGAAAGCCGAACCATATATGTGGAGAACAGTGAGAAGTTTGTGATTGATGCTTGAATATTTCATGGGAAGTAGTATCAAATGAGGCTCTGAATATCAGATCAGCCAGATTTTAGAGAGTCTGCAATACCAGTCTAAGATAAAAATTTGTATTTTATTTAGCTGATAGTGGAAGCCCTTGAAAAATTTAGGAGATATTTTACTTTTCGATCTTAGGAGAAAGGAGTTTATTTATTGATGTAGCTAAAGAGTGTCATTATTAAATGGTTTTATTTGTAAAGTAGTTTTAAGGTAAAAAGTTAAGGACACTCTAGGAAGATTGTGTGCATAATAACACCCCATTCATCTTGGTTTTCATCCATTTTGGCTGCGTTGGGTCTTTGTTGCTGCGCGCAGGCTTTCTCTAGTTGCGGTGAGCGGGGGCTACACTTCGTTGTGGTGCACAGGCTTCTCATTGCGGTGGCTTCTCTTGTTGTGGAGCACAGGCTCTAGGCGCATGGGCTTCAGTAGTTGTGGCACGTGGGCTCAGTAGTTGTGGCTTGTAGGCTCTAGAGCTCAGGCTCAGTAGTAGTGGTGCACAGGCTTAGTAGCCCCATGGCATGTGGGATCTTCCCAGACCAGAGCTCGAACCCATGTCCCCTGAATTGGCAGGCGGATTCTTAACCACTGTGCCACCAGGGAAGTCCCCATTTCTCAATATTTTAACCATTTTTTTCAAAGCCCCTACCTCAATGCTTTGCATATAGTTGGTACTAGGTAGGCATTTGCTGATTTAATATTTAGCTTCTCAAACACAAAAGATTGCATATAATGTCAAATGCTTTTGTTAGCTAATACTATATTTCTGTTTACAGGTATCCAGAATGCTACCAGGGGGACTTTTAGTTCTTGGAGTATTTATTATTACAACTTTAGAAATGGGGAATGAATTTCAAAATACCCTACATAGAGTAAGTCTGAAATATCAAAAATTCTTAAAGTTATATCTTAATTGATTATACTTGTATACAGTGATCCTAGTCATATTTAGATTAATTCTCTATGCTGGGATTATGTTGAAACAGCTTTTTCCACCCAATTGCTTTGTATCTTGAGTGTAATATATGTCAGTATTTATATTTTCAACCAATGCTACATATTTTTAAAATAGTCGTTATTTTAAAGATAACTTTTTACTATTGTGAAACAAGTTATAATGGTTTAACAATTTTTCCTGTGCCATAGCAGTATTCTGCTAGACCTTCCATTTAGTTCCAAGTGATTGCTGTAATGTGAAATTAATAGGTTTTGCAATTCTTCACCTCTTCAATTCTCTCAGGATCCTGAGAGTAAGACATAAAATAACAACAGTCAGATACTTATTCTTTATTTCTGGACCAAGTACCTATTATGAATCCCCTGCTTTTTGTTTAATTCCTATGTCAGTCATTTGGGTGACATGGTTTACAAGTAAATGTGAGGGTCCACAAGCTGTTTCCCCTTAAGCCCAGACCTAAAGTAAACTCTGTGCAGCCAGTTTTCATCTCTTTTAGTACTCAAGATCCAAATAAGCCTTCAAAAGTTATTTTCCACCCCAAGAGAGAAGGAGACCTCATTATCTTGAGAAGTGCAAAACCCCACAGAATCCTCCCAAACCTTTTTCTAGTAAAAAGTGTACAGCTAAGAATCCAGGTGCTACAGATTCTTCCAGTTTTGTAACATTCTCTCCCATCAAATATCCCACCTTCAAACCTTTGATATTTGTACTTATGGGGGTAAAGGAAGAAAATGGTGATAATCCCTCCCCTGGCAAGTTATTCAACCTTCTGCCATTTTTACCATTTTAAATAAATGTACCTCTTTCACAATCATTCATCCTATTTGGCATTTTGAAATGTAATCTATATCCATGTGTATTTAATAGCATTGGCTGTGCATCCTCTTGTGGTTGGGTTGAATGTGGGCTCAGCGCTAGAGAGATACAGTAGATCCTCCTTCCTCTTGCTTTTTGTATCTGTTTTGTTTCTAAGAAGCATGTAAGATTTTAGAAATGCCCTATTTCAGAAATTGTAGCGTTTTAATTATCTAACTTTGTTTCCATTGACCTGCATTGAGGGACAATATATGAAGTAACCTTATAAAACTTGTCACTGTCTCCCATAAGGTCATTGCTAAGAACTTTGTTATATTACATAATATTGTCTTTGAAGAAATTTCTTTTGATATCATTATTAAGAAAGTTATGCCTCCATCTCCGGGTTATTGTAAATAGAGCTGCAATGAACATTTTGGTACATGATTCTTTTTGAATTATGGTTTCTCAGGGTATATGCCCAGTAGGATTGCTGGGCCTAAGTGTCCATCATCGGATGAATGGATAAAGAAGATGTGGCACATATATACAATGGAATATTACTCAGCCATGAAAAGAAACCAAATTGAGCTATTTGTAATGAGGTGGATGGACCTAGAGTCTGTCATACAGAGTGAAGTTAGTCAGAAAGAGAAAGACAAATACCATATGCTAACACATATATATGGAATTTAAGAAAAAAAAATGTCATGAAGAACCTAGGGGTAAGACAGGAATAAAGATACAGACCTACTAGGGAATGGACTTGAGGATATGGGGAGCGGGAAGGGTAAGCTGTGACAAAGCGAGAGAGTGGCATGGACATATATACACTACCAAATGTAAAATAGGTAGCTAGTGGGAAGCAGCCACATAGCACAGGGAGATCAGCTCGGTGCTTTGCGACCACCTAGAGGGTTGGGATAGGGAGGGTGGGAGGGAGGGAGATGCAAGAGGGAAGAGATATGGGGACATATGTATATGTATAACTGATTCACTTTGTTATAAAGCAGAAACTGACACACCATTGTAAAGCAATTATACTCCAATAAAGATGTAAAAAAAAAAAAAGAAAGTTATGCCTCTTCTGATCAATTGTTTAGCTTATGGACTGTGCGAATTTGGGAACTGATTGGGTTTCTCTGTGCACATTATTTTTAGAAAGCTTAGAGCCAAATTTATGAACCCTGTCCCCATATCAAGTATGCATTTTTATAATTCTTACATGTGGCATAGATTTTTGTCACTATTTCTGATTTTTTTCACTTAGAATTTATGTTATTACTATATTTTATGTGCCCTTATGTATTATTACCTTACATCTTTTGTGACATTTAAATAAGAAATGCCAAATGTGTGACACGCTCCATTTTTATAGGTTAAAAATCACTTGTCACTTCTCATTCTAATTAAAGTCTTTATTCTGTACTTCACTTAAATGTTAATTGCCCAAAATCATGTTCAGTTGATCGTTAATGACAGTGAATTATATTTTTTTATTTAATACCTAATTTTTATATATCCCTAAAAATGGAATCTAAATGGTTAATAATCAGTTTCACTCTCTCTTTTGAGAAAAAGGAAATTTAATGATAGCATCATGGAATTTTAAAGCTAGATGAGTGCGTAAGGATATTATAATTGTCTTTTTCTGCACTCTGTTTCTTATTTTATTTTGCATTCAGTTGATGTGTTTTCCTCTCTTTCAGCTAGTATTTGCTGTGGAAAAATCTATGAATAAAAAGAGACTGTGGAATTTCACAGACGAGGAGGTCTCAGAACGAGTGACACTTCACTTTTGCTCTTCTACAAAAAAGTATCTTTTATTTAGGTGTTTATGTTCTAAAGTATATGATACAAAAATAATGTTCCTGCAGGTTTTTTCCCCAAACACTTATTTAAGTCATCATTTAAAAAATAGGCTTAGTTTGTACGTTTTTCTGTAAATAACACATAATTCGGACTGCCAATAATGGTTGTTAATCATGTATCACGGTTGTAAAGAGTTTGAGAGAGGTGGCAAGGACTGGGCATTCTGAACTCTTTACCAGCTTTCCACCCCTGTACATTAAAATACACTAGGGCCCCTGCAGAAAGGTACAGCTTAGGCAAAGTAATGCTTTTATTTTGTTTACCTCCAGTTCCTATAGATAAAATGTTCAATGCAAAGCACAGGTGCACTGAGCTGGCAATTTTTATATCTTTGGCCAAGATCAAGTGACACTAAAAGCCATTTATAGGGCCTTCTTAGCTTCTTTCCTCTACATATTACTAGGGCAAGTACCTCCCAAGCATGAGGCAGCGTCACCAAGGGAGTGAAGCAATGCAAGGGCCCAATAAATTAGGACCTGCAAAAAGACAAAATTCAAAACGTGATCATTCCTGTAGAAGGCGGGCTGTTAACTCCTTTGGTATTTAACTAGAAAGTTTCATGTGCAGACCCTTTGACCCAATAAACATTCCCAGGCTTGACTTCATTCAGAACAGCACTCCTATTTGTTAAAAAGGGCCTGTATTTGAGGACAGTTTTGTAAGAGCTATCATTCTATTCATTGTGATTAGCAGGATTTATAAGCAGTAGGAAATAGTTTAAAGTACCACAAGTATTATAGTCAGAGGAATTTGTATATATGTAAGTATATGTATTTACACAAACATATATATACATATATATGTGTATACATATCTTTAAGTGTCATGCCATGAAGTGGTATGATTTTGTAAAAACTCTTGGATGCATATACTTTATTTTTATTTTTTGATGGTTTATTTTCTTTTGATTATCAAGAATTGCTTTCTTATTTTTTATTTTTTTGGTTATTTCTATCCTTAATTAATAAAGAATATTTTGTCGAACTTATGATATCCATAATCCAAAGGTAAGAAAAACTGCTCTTTAAAGATTTTTCTGTGTTGCAAACTGTTTTTAAATAAAATTCAATTTTTAGTTTTAATAATTTTCAGTGCTATCTCTTCCTATTAATGTCCACAACCACCTGTAGTTTTTTATTTTGAAGTATGATTAATTTCACTACAGACAAGGACAATTTGTGTTTTTTTTTTTAATTGTTAAAATATTTTTGTTAAGCTCTCCCTACCTTGTTTATGTGTCTGGTATTATATTTGAGAGGCTAGCAGTAAAAGTGTCTAGGCTTGTGGGAGCCACAGTGCCCAGTAAACAAGCTGTCTGTACTCAGCAGGATCCAGACTAACATTTTGCCAAGGTGTCTAAAAAGCAATGTGAGGGACTTCCCTGGTGGTCCAGTGGTTAAGATTCTATGCTTCTACTGTAGGGGGGCACAGGTTTGATCCCTGGTCAGGGAACTAAGATCCCACAGGCCATGCAGTGTGGAAAAAAAAAAAAAAAGAAGCAGTGTGAAAGTAATGCAGTATTCTGTTAGCAAGGATAGAACAGAAAGGAAAATGTCTGGCACCTAGTATTTGCTCAGTGATTATTTACTCTCCATCAGAAGCTTCAGAATTGACACACTGTTGAAGCTACATATGGGACCTACAGGACCAGAGGACTTGTCAGGATTTTAAGCAAGCCTTTCACTGGGTGAGGGAGTTGCCAAGATTGCCTGGGATGTGCTGAAGAATACTGAACTTTTAATGCATGCTTTATTTTTATTTAGTTCTAACCTATTACCCTTTGATGAAGGAATTTGGCCATATATATTAGATAACAGCTTGTATAAGTTACTGGGTTGTACATTTTATGATGTTTTATTGCTCCGTGTGTTTTACGTAAGTCACATATTTTATGTTTTTCCCCCTTTGCTAAAGAGTTCTGCAAAACCAGCAGATTGGAAGTATCAAAATGGACTATCAGCTTCATGGCTTTCTTTAGAGTGTACAGTATATATTAATATTCATGTCCCACTGTCTACTACTTCTGTCAGCTATACTCTGGAGAAAAATACAAAGGTATCAGGGTAAAATGAATTTTCTTTAGTGACTGCTGAATAGATGATCTGCCTTTATTCTGGTTGTCTATGCCATTCATTTTATAATCCTCAAAAACTGCATTCTAATTATAATAATATTGTTATGGGTAACTAATTTGTTACTCTGCCCAGATTAAAAAATTAGAGGTGGGACATTGTTATCATACTAATGTATTTAGCGTAATAAGTGCTCCATAAATATTTGTTAATTAACATGTAATTATGTACATTGTAAAATATAATTATGTAGGAAGATGTACTGTTTGGTCTTTTTGCTTTCTCTTCATCTTTAGTTTTTTAAAAAATTTATTTCATTGAAATATAGTTGATTTACAGTGTTGTGTTAATTTCTCCTGTACAGCAAAGTGATTCATATATTCTTTTTCATATTCTTTTTGATTATGAGTTATCACAGGGTATTGAATATGGATTGACAGTTTGGGATTAGCAGATGCATACTGTTCTATATAAATGGATAAACAACAAGGTCCTACTGTATAGCACAGGGAACTATCTTCATCTTTAGTTTTGTTTTCCATCTTCCAGTTCTTTTTTGTATTTCTGTACCATTCTTTTGTTCATAACTTATTTCTCTTATTTTTTCCTATTGAAAGAGGTAAATGGAACTTGCTTATTTTTTCCTCTTTAATACTGCTTTATATATTTGTTTGAGGCGCTTTCTCTTTTCTCACTTTTTTTAAGATAACAGGAATTATTGAATTTTGTTTGACTGTGGTTATTAAGTCTCCTAGGTCTGTGACATAAACGTTAGTTTGGGAAAAAGATTAGAAAAACTATTATTAAATATGGGTGAAGTGCCAAAAATTGGGGATATACTTTTTTGTTGTTTATGATATTGAATTTAAATGCCATATTGCTGATACTTAGGGATTTTTAATATTTCAGTATACTAGGTAGAAAAAAGTCGACTCGAGGGAGTTTAATTGAGATGGCATTATATTTGAATGATATCCATGTTGTGTTTCTTTTAAGAATGGACTTATACACTGGGCCAAGCAAATAGAAAATAGTATTTATTTGATTAATGGACAAGTTAAAGATGAAGATTGTGACCTATTAGAAGGACAGGTGAGTTAAGAGAACATCATCTTACTTATGAAATTATTTGTGCTTAAGGAAAAATAAAAGATGACTTATCATTAGTTCTTTAGGCCTTGCCTTCATGAAAACAATTCATCTACTTTTTATTTCTAAGGTCTTTTAAACTAAAGTGCAAATGTTTTTCTCAGAAAATGATAGGAGATTATTTCTGAAATCATAGGAATTTTGAAACCTAAAGGAGAGAGTGTCATCTAAATAACATCTAATTTCTACAATGTAAACTGCTTGCTTAAAACTAAAGTCATGTTCTGCCCTGATAACAGTTTAAAAACTAAGTTTGGCCATTTTATAGGAGGGGTCTATATGGGCTTCTAAAATATCTTTGATTTGAAGAGGAACTTTGGTGATCTCTCCCTTTAGAGCAGGGATCAGTGAACTTAATGTAAAAAAACAAATAGTAAATATAGGCTTTGCAGGCCTTGTGTTCTCTCTTACAACTGTTCAGCTCTGCTGTTGTAGTATGAAAGCAGCCATAGACAATATGTAAATGACTGATCCTGGTTGTTTTCCAGTGAAACCTTATTTACGAAGACTGGTGGCAGTCTGGATTTGACCCATAGGCCATAGTTTGCCAATCGTTGCTTTAGAGGAATAAAAGTAGGAGATTAATGGTTTTTAAGAGTGCACGTTGATTGATGTAGACGACACAAAGTTACACATCTATAGAAAAAGCTAAAGTAAAACAAATAATAAGACCTTTTTTCCCTCTGAGTTACTTAGTGTATGTTGGATAGTCCCTAAATTGTCTTTTATGTTCCACTCCAACCTCAACAATCTAATTTTTTAAATTTTTGTGTTATTTCAGAAAAAATCTTCTAGAGGAAATACTCAGGCAATTAATCATTCTTTTGATGTCAGAGTGCTAACACAGTTGGTAAATATTTTAACATACTCCTTATCTAAAATTAAAATACATTATTTCTTAGAATAAGCTTAATGAAATTGTTTCTGTTTTTATGGTGATTGTTAGAGAGTCAAAGAATTTTAGAGACGTAAAGAACTATAAAAAATATTCAGTTCTAAGAAAGTTATTCCCAAGAAACATTTTAATAAAACCTATTTGGGTCTATTGCCTCAATCCTATTAAAATTTTAACATCAAGTAGGTAGCAATTAGGAAAAAATGTATATATGTATACATACACATATATATGTACACACATATACATATATACATGTGTATGATATTTGGTGTTGTAAGTTTTATGAGCAAAGTTGCAATTCTTAACTTAAAAATAAAACGTGTGCACAGATGTGCCAAGAGTTGTTATATACCTAATTTGAAGCAGATTTATACCTCTGATTTGACAGAACCCACACAGTATTAGCAAGGTTTATGTTTTTATATGGTTGTTTTAAATTATACATCTCTTTTCTGGAATTTAAAGTTACATAATTATTCCTAAAAGTATGCATACTTTTGATTTTAATCTTGCTGGACATTATCCTAGAGGCCAGATAGGGTATAAAGTACATCCATGTTTTTAGAAAACTTTAAATTTCAATATTATACTGAAGGGGCTTCCCTGGTGGCGCAGTGGTTGAGAGTCCGCCTGCCGATGCAGGGGACATGGGTTCGTGCCCTGGTCCGGGAAGATCCCACATGCCGCAGAGCGGCTGGGCCCGTGAACCATAGCCGCTGAGCCTGCGCGTCCAGAGCCTGTGCTCCGCAAAGGGAGAGGCCACAACAGTGAGAGGTCCGCGTACTGCAAAAAAAAAAAAAAAAAAAAAAAATTACACTGAAAATGTTGAAACAGGGAAATACTACCAGGACTCATATATTTTTTTAACTGAATAAAATAGACTCAAAAGCAGTTTGTCATATGAGGATGCTTTAATTTCTTCTTTTCCTTTTCTGTGTTTAGCAATACAACATTACTAAATTGTTGTTGGACTTATGCCACTAAACATTTCTCAATTTCTCTTCTCAGTATCTTAAAAGTACTTTTAGTCTTCAGTTTTCCTCCTCCTTTTTGATTTTAGAAGTGTTCTTTATTTTAAGGCTATTCCTCTACCTATATGCTTTTTACTAGTTATGCTTATGTGACCTCTCAGTTTATTAAACAATTCAGTTAAAATTATTTTAGTTATAAAATTGCAGTTAGAAGATGTGTAGAGGATGGGAATATAGAGAGAAGAGTAGAAGATAATATCATGAGATAATTTATTATAATTAATAGTATATGGTATCAAATATTTTTGTCAATAATTCCACCAGTCAGCCAGCTGGAAACTTTAAAATGACCAATATATAATAAGTAGTCAATAAGTATTTGATACCACTTTCCTCCCAGTCACCCTTCATCAAGTCTTGTTGATCTTTTCTTTGCAGCATAGCACCTCTTTTATTTTCCTTATAGTCCCAGTGCCATTAGCCTTACAACATAATTATTTTACCTATTTTATCACAAGTAACTCTTAACTAGTCTCTCTCCATCTATTCATTCTTGTCCAAAGTGATTCATTCTCCGAAATCCTGATACCTTTGTTTGTATATCTCTTGGAATATCTTCCGTATTTCTGATCTATCCTGCATATTACCTCAGATTATCCTTTCTGAATCACAGTTTGCATTCATTCACTGTTCATTTACTTATTAGTTTTTTTTTCAGTTAGTATTTATTGTGTATAAGGGTTAGACACCGATTGTGTTACTTTGCTTGATTAAAATTCCTTAATTGCTCTATATTGACTAGTTAGAAAAGTCTAATTCAAGGCTTTTCAGGGCCTCAACATGCCTTTCTGTTATTTTCTAACTTACTGTTCTAGAGGTATGCTTTCTATGCCTTCAAAGTTCTGTGTGTTTCCCAAGCCGTCAGTCTTACCAGTGCCATTTTTTTCCCTTCTTATCCAGACTGTCAAACTCCTATTCTGTACATGAAGATCTAGCCCAAATGTTACCATTTTGGTAAGGTTTCATTTGGTCTCCATAACCAGAGGGATCTTTCCTTTTCCAAAATATCATGTCAGCATCACAGAAGTTCCTCCACTTATGAATATGTTAGATTCCCAAAGTAGCTAGCTTGTTCCTAAGTCCAAAGAAACCAAGGCGAGTTGACCTGTATAGAGCCCAGATACATTTCCACCGAAAAGGAGTGAAGCAGTCCTTTTATTCTTTAAAAAGTCTTCTCCTTGGTGTGTGTGTGTGTGTGTGTGTGTGTGTGTGTGTGTGTGTGTAGTCTTTTATATATATAGTCTAGTCCATTTGGAAAATAATGTTCTAATTTATGCATATATAATATATATGCTATAAATGTGTTATATAATATGTATTGTAAGTTAGATATTAAGTATGTGAAATAGAGCATTATTTTTCTATAGTAAAGTTCTGTTTAGTGGATGAGGGAAGCCCATTACTCCTCCTCCACTCCACTTATTGATATATCAGCGATCTCTACAAGTATCATAAGAGGCTTATTCCAAATAGAGTATCAGCATCATCACCCTTTTGCTTGGTTTGATGATTGACATTTTTGCATGGACCTGGAATCTTCTGGACTATTTATTTGGTCTGTGACAAATTTTTTACCAAGACCTTGACTGTGTTTAAGTTTAAATTTTAAAAAAAATTTAGCCTTTGCCTGAATTACATTAGACTTTGACTATTCATGCTCTTTCAGTGGCTGCATATTCAAGTCTTTTGATTCACCATTTGTCCTCATCACTTCCTGACTGTTTCTTACTGCCTAGGCACATGGTTAGTTAGCACTGGTCACAAGTTGTATGATTTGTTTCTGTTCTTCAGAATTGACCCTATTGTTGAATATTTATTTCAGGTACACTTAGAACATATATTTTTACCATGTCCATTTTTTTTTAATCATAATTTTCGGTACCAGTGTGGTTTTATGGGCCTCTAGTAGTACTTTCAAAGTTTCGATCCTCTCCTTGTTTTGGCACTTATTGAAATGATAAGGTTAAAAATGTCTGTGAAAAAGCTCAAAACCAAGCATAAACTAACCCTACTTAGATTAAATAAGAATGGGTCTGTGAGGTGAAAATGACAATCACTGGTATCATTTTCTGGTGACGGGCATAGTTGACTTGCTTTTTTTTTTTTGCTGTGAAGCCTATAGCATTACTTTCAGTCTATAAAAGTTATGAGTTAAAAATGTATAAATAAATGAGTGTCTATATGTTGCTTATAATTTTATCATATTTATCACATCCTGCTTTGTATTCCAGTTATTTTTGTGCAAGTCTTGCATAGTGTACCTTCTCTTACTAGATCATATCTTCTTTTTACATCTTTTCATCTTAATAGTTCTTACTAGATCATATCTTCTTTTTACATCTTTTCATCTTAATAGTACTTATCTGAGTAATCTGCAAATAATGTATGTTTAATGAATATTGGTACTTTAGATGGTTATATTAGTAAGAAAAAAATTAGATGTAGTGTACTTAATTTCAGAGTATGTTCAAAATACTCAGAAAATAACATGTAACTTATAAGGAGAAATATGAAGGCCTTTTAAAAATTTATGGGGAATATTTTCAGACACCTGGTTCAGTTAAAAATTCCTTCTTGCTTCATGAAGTGACTCACATATATGATGTTTAAATGTTTCACATAATTAATAGTCATTGGCTATTAGAATCTAAACAGATTTTGTCTTTCAGCTTCTGAATTCAGACCACAGATCCACAGCCACAGTCCAGATCTGCAGTGGCTCTGTAAACCTCAAGGGTGCTGTGAAATGCAGAGCTTATATTCATAGCAATAAACCCAAGGTTAAAGATGCTGTACAGGTAAAAAAAAAAAAAAAGGAATAACTGGTATATGAAAAACAGAAGCATGTTAACATAATTATTTAAAAATCTTAAAATTTCACCTTTTTTCAATCTCAAATTTCATAATTATTCATTTGATTTTAACTGATAAAAGTCCAGTCTGTTGGGCAGTCCAAATGTACCAGGTAATTGGTCCCAAGATTTTCATATGTAGAATGTCTATTTTTATACCTTTTTGAAGTGATGATTATACAAGTGTATTAAGTGTTCCACAGTTGTAACATATTAGTATATTTGAAATTATTTCTTCTGAGGGAAGTTGAACTTTTTAAATAACAGGAAAAGTACACCTACAAAGAATTATTAGGTATTGTTCTATAATCAATATAATTTAGAAATTTAAAAAATGATGACTGGCACTTTTGTCATAGTTATGCATTTTCTAATTTGGACCACTAGCATTATTTGTTCAGATGCAAAAGTTTGTTCATTTATTTGGTTTAAATTTACTGTTTAGATGAAGTCTGGGAAATGGAATGACGTACTAGTTATTTTAGTGGACATGATTATACAAGGAAGTCATTTATGTGGCAGGTTTTGGTAATAAAATAATGCAAATTTAAAGAAATGGATTTTATTTCTTATTGTGGTTTGTTTTGGTTTTCCATAGGCCATGAAAAGAGATATATTGAATACAGTTGCTGATCGTTGTGAAATACTATTTGAGGATCTGCTTTTGAATGAAATTCCAGAAAAAAAAGTTATGAGTATAATATTAAGTACTTTTTTTGCATGTGTTCAATTGATATATTAAGATGTCAAGATATAATAGATAATATTATCTTTTTAACTGCATATATCTTTTTTAAAACAATATGTAATCATTTACTTTTCTTATTGAATGAAAATTTTCAGTTGCCACCTAAAAAAACGTTTTTGAACACCTTGTAATAGTAAATCTGTCAACATTTAATAATTTCAGGGAGGATTTAAAAAGAAAAATTCTGTGTGAATTTTTGCCAGAATAGATAAGCTGTGTTACCATTTTTTTTAGTTATTTCTGAGATATACATTTTAAAGAAATAACTAGAATTATGACTTATAACATTATACCAGAACATATAAGATTTTTAGAAATTGCATGTAATGTCTGAAACATTTATATTAACATATTTCCATACAAATAACCCAAAGAAAGTTTAGTAGTAGTTGTTTTTTTGTTTCTTTGTTTTTTTATACTGCAGGTTCTTATTAGTCATCAATTTTATACACATCAGTGTATACATGTCAATCCCAATCACCCAATTCAGCACACCACCATCCCCACCCCCACCGCGGTTTTCCCCCCTTGGTGTCCATACGTTTGTTCTCTATGTCTGTGTCTCAACTTCTGCCCTGCAAACTGGTTCATCTCTACCATTTTTCTAGGTTCCACATACATGCGTTAATATACGATATTTGTTTTTCTCTTTCTTACTTCACTCTGTATGACAGTCTCTAGATCCATCCACGTCTCAACAAATGACTCAATTTCGTTCCTTTTTATGGCTGAGTAATATTCCATTGTATATATGTACCACAACTTCTTTATCCATTCATCTGTCGATGGACATTTAGGTTGCTTCCATGACCTGGCTATTGTAAATAGTGCTGCAGTGAATATTGGGGTGCATGTGTCTTTTTGAATTATGGTTTTCTCTGGGTATATGCCCAGTAGTGGGATTGCTGGATCACATGGTAATTCTATTTTTAGTTTTTTAAGGAACCTCCATACTGTTCTCCATAGTGGCTGAATCAATTTACATTCCCACCAGCAGTGCAAGAGGGTTCCCTTTTCTCCACACCCTCTCCAGCATTTGTTGTTTGTAGATTTTCTGATGAAGCCCATTCTGAGCAGTGTGAGGTGATACCTCATTGTAGTTTTGATTTGCATTTCTCTAATAATTAGTGATGTTGAGCAGCTTTTCATGTGCTTCTTGGCCATCTGTATGTCTTCTTTGGAGAAATGCCTATTTAGGTCTTCTGCCCATTTTTGGATTGGGTTGTTTGTTTCTTTAATATTGAGCTGTTTATATATTTTGGAGATTAATCCTTTGTCCATTGATTCGTTTGTGCATATTTTATCCCATTCTGAGGGTTGTTTTTTCATCTTGTTTATTGGTTTCCTTTGCTGTGCAAAAGCTTTTAAGGTTCATTAGGTCCCATTTGTTTATTTTTGTTTTTATTTCCATTACTCTAGGAGGTGGATCAAAAAAGATCTTGCTGTGATTTATGTCAAAGAGTTTTCTTTCTGTGTTTTCCTCTAAGAGTTTTATAGTGTCCAGTCTTACATTTAGGTCTTGAATCCATTTTGAGTTTATTTTTTGTATGGTGTTAGGGAGTGTTCTAATTTCATTCTTTTACATGTAGCTGTCCAGTTTTCCCACCACCACTTATGGAAGAGACTGTGTGTGTTACCATTTTAAAGCCATTAATTTATTAGTGTTGACCATTATGTATAATAGAGTCTTTAATAGGTGTATATGCAATTGATCTTTCTTTTTCTTTCCAATTTATTTTTTTTGTGTGTGTACTAGTTTATATACTTCTCATCTATTCTCTAACGGACTTTACTAGATTTTAAAAAGGCTGGGTCATGGTGTCTTAACCTTTTATAACTATTCCATCTTTTGAGAAACATGAACAGTTTATACCTTTTCAGTAATTTGTATTAGAAAAATTTTGTTTTACTCAAAAAGAAAATATAATATTGAGTATGCTTTTTGAAGCTACACATTTATCTGCCTTTCTACTATTCAGGTGGATTTGCAATTCATGGTTGAATATGTACATAATTGAAACATACGTTATTAGCTTGTTAATGGAATATGTTTATTTTTATAGGAGAAAAGCATAGCTCCTGTGCTAACTAACTTCTTTTAGTTATAATAGCCCATATATCAGGTTTGGTGGACTGATATAATCTTTTTTTATTCCTAGTATGATAGATACCTGGAATTTCCAGGTTTAACATCTGTCCTTCATGTACTTCACAAATAACCCTGAAGTTATTATTAGTGGAATAACCCATCCACTAATAATGTATAGTTTTGCTGAGACATGAATTTGAATTTTACTTTCAGCAATTGGATTGAGAGTTTTGTTTTGTGAAGTATGTAAAACCTGGTCACTTAGCCACCCAGTTAGTCTAGCAGTGTCATCTCTGTGGCTTTGTTTTTGCTGCTTGACTTTGTGTGTGATAACTCTCATGGTATTAAACACTACTTCACTTTCTGAGTAACAGTATGTGTTACAACTGAACTGTGAATTTTAGGATTTTATGGGACATTGGGATATATCCACCAATAATGCCAAAGATCTACCTTATCACACACATTAGTTAAATATTCCTTTCCATTACAAATGCTTCATAAAAAGGGTATCAAATGACTGCTCTAGTATATTTAGTGAATTAGTATTTTGAAATTTTTGCTGACGTCCAATCAGTAAAATTAATTACTTCTAATAACAGTTGTTTATACATTAAATTTGATATATTAGAAGTTAATGTTATCATCTAATCTTACATTTTTACAAAATGAAAAAATATTTTCACTGATAATTGAGTGGCCTTTGAGCTTGTGGGAAGAGAGAATAGGCAATGTAGTTTGGTGGAAAGAGCAAAGACTGAAGTTCTTGGGTTCTGTGTCTACTCTAACACTACTGGAGTGACTTCAGGCAAATAATTTAGCCTGTCTAAGCATCCACTGTCTTATGTGAAAAACAGGGATTATAGTAGCTATTTTTCGAGCCTGTGAGATGAAAGAAGATGATGTTTTTAAAGTCCCTAATACAGGTTGGTAGGCCAAGCCCTCATCAAGTAGTAGTTACTATTAAGTTGGAGGTACTGAAGGAAGAGAATTACTTAACAATGGTTGTATTTAAACTTTCTTAACTTTAAGTTTTGTGGAATGTAGCCTTATATTTCAAAAATGAACCAAGTGTAAGTATACATTTTTTGAACTGTAGTAAGAGGATAATTATTCCAGCAACATGTTAGTAGATCTTAAGATATCAAGATTAAAAAATATATTGCAAGTATAATAATATGAACATGTAAAATTTGAAGTTGACTATATATACACCCAATTGTTACATCTTAAATTTAGTCCTCATTTTACTTAGCTTATCTTTCTTTTTTCTTTTCTTTTTTTTTTTTTTAAAGGAAGAAATTACTGTCTTTATTCTCAGGTGACATGATTGTGTACACACAAAATCCAAAAGAATCTTTAAAAATAAAACTACTAGAACTAATAAGTGAATTTACCAAGGTCCCAGAATACAAGGTCAATATACATAACTCAATTATATTTCTCTATAGTAAGAAAAAACTGGAAATTAAAAAAAAATTAAATACCATTTATAATAGCATTCAAATAACCATAAAATACTTAGAGATAAATCTAGCAAAATATATATAAGATATATGTACTGAAAACTACAAAACACTGCCAAGACAAATTAGAAAAGACCTAATAATTGGAGAAAGATGCCATGCTCATGGATTGGAAGACTCAATGTTATTAAGACGTCAACTTTTTCCAAATTGATCTATAGATTCAACATAATGCAGATCAAAATCCCAGCAGGACATTTTTTTTTTTTTATTCCCTGTTCATCATTTTATTGGAAGTCCTGGGTAGTGCAATAAGGAAACAAAATATATACAGATAGGGATGGAAAAAATAAAACTTTTCAGATAACGTGATTGTCTATCTAGAAAAGTCACAAAAAATATACAAAAAACTCTTTAATAAGTGACCTAGCAAGATCACGGCGTACAAGGTAATATACAAAAGTCAGTGTTTTCCTATATATGTAAATGAACAATTGGAATTTGCAATGAAAAAATAACATATACAATACAATAGGACCCCCAAAATGAAACTTATGTATAAATGTAATAAATATACATAGAAACTGTGTATGGAAAACTATAAAACTCTCATGTAAGAAATCAAAGATCTAAATGAATGGATAGATATTTCTTGTTCATGGATTGAAAGACCCAATATAGTTAAGATGTCAGTTCTTTCCTACTTGATCTATAGATTAAATGAAATTCCTATTGAAATCTCAGCAAGTTATTTTATGGATATCAACTAACTGATTCTAAAGTTTGTATGAAGGGGCACAAGACCTAGAATAGCTAACACAATATTATTTTTTTTGAATTTTATTTATTTTTTTATACAACAGGTCCTTATTAGTTATCGATTTTGTACATATTAATGTGTATATGTCAATCCCAATCTCCCAATTCATGCCACCACCACCCCCCCTGCCCCACCACTTTCCCCCCTTGGTGTCCATACGTTTGTTCTCTACATCTGTGTCTCAATTTCTGCTCTGCAAACTGGTTCATCTGTACCATTTTTCTAGGTTCCACATGTATGTGTTAATATACGATATTTGTTTTGCTTATGCTTCTTATATACTGGTAAAATCTTGTAAGTTTGTAATATGGTAAAATCTAGAATGCATGCCATGAAATTAACCTGAACTAGAATATTTTTTGCATGCATAAGGAAGTCTGCAAAGGGCATACTAACATTACATTCTTAATCTTTAAAGTAAACATAGTTTTTTAATTCTGGCTATCCAGATGAAAGAACTTAATACTTCAGGTGACAGTAAAAAAAATAATAATAATAAATAAAATATGAACTCCAGTCAGTCCTTTTACTTATTCTGGTCTTCCCCTTTTCTTTCCCTTAAGAAGTATTCCAGACTTTCTTCATTATTCTCTATCAGCCTGCATTCAGTCCTGCCCAACTTACTCTCAGTAGATGACATACTCATTGTGAAAACTGAGGTCATCAACTATGAAATCTCTTACCTTCTTCCATCCCTACATCCACATCCATCCATACTGCCTGTCCTCTCAGAACATTTATATTCCTCTTTGCCTGTAGTCATGGTTCCACTCTCTGGATCGCGCTTCTCATCCCTTCATGCAAATGTCTGTTTATCTTTTAAGAGTCAGCTCAGATATTGCCTATTCTACAAAATTTTCTGTAATATTCCAGTATGAGTTAGGATTCTATACTTAACCAGCAAAATCTCAATTCTTATCATATTGGCTTAACTTTAATTTTTTTTCTCTGTTTTGAACTTATTTAAATAATTTTGAACAAAATACTCTGCTATGGGAATACGCCTAAAGGATTCTTTTTTTGAGTACTTTTTAAGATGTATGTTTTTTTTTAAAGCTTTCCTCTCCCATTTTAAACCTCAGACCAGCTAGAAAACTTGGTCTTATTTAGATAATAAATGTTTAATTTAACTTTAACTTGAAAATTGTAAGCGCTTTTTTTAAAATGAATAATACAAGTTCATTGCAACCAATTCTTTAACATTTGATTTTATAAGCAAGCATATTTGTCTCTTTTTCAGGCAAACCTAGAATTAATGCAGTTTGAAATTGTTTTAAAATTTTGCATGCCAATTACACTTAGGCCACCTTTGAAAGTTTTGAACTTAACCTGTTTTAAGAAACTATGGCCCAAAATAAAATACTATATTCCTAATATCAATGTGTGGACAGTTTACATGCTATAAGACAACTTGCAGTAATATAATTTTACAGCTAGGAGGCAGTCTGGTCAAAGAGTAAAATTCTCCCAGTTCTCATTTGAAAACAATATATTAAGCAGAATCTGGCAGGAACACATATTTAAGTCATGGCATTTCCTATGACACTTAAGGCATTCTTCATTGTCATCTGTTTGCAGTTATATAAAGCTACCACTTGCTTCTTGACGAGGAAAGGTAGGTTACTGTTAAAGTGAGCCCTGGTTTTCTACTTGGTCTGTACATTGGCAGCTCTTTTAAATCATATCCATTGCTGAAAAAAGTCATTCTTTACACAAAATCCCTATCTTTGTTGATACTTCATCAGAGTTATGGTTTTGAGCCAAACAATAATTATGTGTTTATGTTAGAAATTGAGCGAAATGTGTGTGTTGAAAGAAGAATGAAATATTCATTATTTACTTAGGTCCAGATTATTTTTTCTAAAAATGATTTAAGGCTATTTACAAAAAGGCATTACAAATTAAGAAGGTAAAGTAGGTATTAATAATGAGAACGAGGCAAAGGGAAAATGAAAAAGAAAGCAAGATGGAGTTGGTGATGAGATTAGTACAGAAAATGTGTATCTTAATGTCCTACACATGCTTGATTAGGGGGCTACATCATGTAAGATGAAGTCAGTGGTGAGATTAGTACAGAAATGAATGCTATCACGACCTATACACTTGATGTAGGTGAGCCACTAATTTGGCTCTATAAGCTTGCATGAAAAAGGGAAAAATTGTTTGGAAAATTCAGTACTTGTAAGGTTAAAACAAAGAAAAACAACTTCTGAGACAAAATTATCTCCTAGGTATTCCTTCATAGGACAGTGGATAATATAAGAATGTATAATCAACAATGTCTTCACATTGAAGGCAGTGGTGAGTTTATATTTCATGGGAGTATCATTTATGTCCCTTGCAGAGGCCTTAGGTATTGAGTTAAAGAATTCAGTAAGCAATTTTGTGCGAGATCAATTAGAAAATGAAAAGACCTTTTAAGGTTTTATTTCTTTTGGCATATGCTTTCATGTACTTACACAATATTTATCACTGATACCAGTGACAGACCTGTCTAAATACTGATATTGTTTCTTCTCCTTTTAGATTCTGAAAAAGAGTTCCACATCCTCCCTCACCGAGTTTTTGTCCCCATTCCGGGATCCACTGTAATGTTATGTGATTATAAATTTGGTGATGAGTCAGCTGAAGAAATTAGAGACCATTTTATAGAGATGTTAGATCATATGATTCAAATAGAAGATTTGGAAATTGCAGAGGAAATAAACACAGGTAATTATATGAGGTTATTTAAGAACCGGATTAGACTATAGCTGAGGTTACCTATGGGACATCTAGTTTAAGTATCATGTCTTTAGATTTCCTTAAAGCTAGTTCTCTTTGATACTTTTGAGGCATTTAAAAATGTGTCTGTTTTTCTACACAGTATATAAACATGCAGTGTTTTCCTGGAAAATCGTACCAAAATTTAAGATACTTTAGATTTTTCCAAGCCTAGCAAGTAGATCTTCATAAAACAAGTTCAGTCTTAAACAGGTAGAAATATATAGCTTTAAAGGATTTCTTTTACTATAAGAGAAGTTTTCTCAAAATCTGTTATTTTAATTATTTGGTTAAGCATCAGGTTACAGAAGTTTTTTTAAACACTTTATTAAACATCTCCATACTATTTGCTGTTATTTTCCTGTCCCCTTCATATAATTGGGATACTAAGCTAAAATGGGCAGTTCCAAAAATTAGATCAAGATTATTTTTACAGAGCATAGATTTGCCATACTATGTAACTGTTTACACATATTCTTCCCCTAACCATTACTTTCATATTTCATCTTACATTTTAAAAGGTTTTTTTTTGTTTTGCTTTGCTTTGCTTTGTTTTTGTTTCTATTGAGAGTAGGATATGAAAACGTGTCTATAAATAAATGTGTTTGACAGTCTTCCTGAAACATTTTAAAAATATGTGGTAAAAGTAGTTATTTGCAAGTATCCATAAATATTGAGTATCTAGACATTTATCAGTCTTGAAATTTCTGATATCATAGTAGAAAGTCTTTAGGTTACTTCTGAATATAAATGTTTATGAAATTTGAATATAACCATTTTTAAGTGCTTTTTCTAATTCTAATTTCTTAGTTAGTCTTCTATTGCTTAACTAATTCCCATTCCCCACAAGAGTAGAGTGATTGAGTCCTGTTGTTTCTATGGTGAATCAAGTAAGTATTTGGTTGGTGAATTTCAAATCTGTCAGTAAAGCCTCAGGTTAGTTGGAGATGACCAGGCTTGTTTTTTCAACAACTCCAAGTTCATATTAATCATGTGGAATAGTAAGTTTGTTTTAAAGGGAAAAAAAAAACAACCTCTAAATTGCTCAGTAAAAGATGTTAAAGCTGCAGCTATGTTTCAGTCCCCTGAAAACTAATATTTTTAAAGGTATAGCTATAGAATATTCTCTAAGTGATAGATTTTGGAGTAGACTGGTAGAAATGTTTGCTACTTTGTGAAATATGTTTTTCCAGATTAGCGACTACGCTGTTTCTTCCAACTAATCTTAGAGTCATGAGGGCAGAGATTTTTGTTTGCTTTTGTTTACTTCTGTCACTAGTGCCTAACAGTAGTTCTTGACCAACTCTATTGTTGATAACTTGAATTAGTTTTACGTGGGATCATTAGAGTTGACCTGGTTCATCCTCTTTCATATAATACTGAAATCTATGGGTATTTAGACTTTTTTCTTCCTTATTCTGAATTCCAGTCTGCCTTCCTGAAACCTCTACTTTTTCAGTAATCTGGAGCAATTAAACATGAGTACAGTTGACACTTGAACAGTACAGGAGCTAGGGGCACTGACTTCCATGTGGTCGAAAATTCATGTATAATTTTGCAGTTGGCCCTCCATATCTGCCGCTCTACATCCACAGATTCAGCCAACTGTGGATTGTGTAGTACTGTAGTATGTATTTATTGAAAAAAATCCAAGTGTAAGTAGACCTGTGCATTTCAAACCCATGTTGTTCAAGTGTCAACTGTACTGCTTCTTTATTGAGGCCTTGCTTTAAGTTTAAATTGAGGGCAGTTGTCATGTTCTAAATATTTCAAAGCCAAATACTCCCATATACCTTTAACTGTTCTCATTATTACAGTTTCTAGACCTCATTTTTCCTTACCGCCTTATTTACCTTTCTTTAGATTAGACATTTTTAACCTGTGGTGTCCAAAATTTTGGGGTCATAGTTGGCTATCAGGAGATCCCTAAACCGCTTGAACATAATTGTATAATGTTTTTCTAGGGGAAAGATCTATAGCTTTCAAAGGGTTGGTGACCTAAGAAGGATTAAAAACTGCTTTTTAAAATATCAGTATAGTCTGGCTTGCCTTTCTTGAGATATGTTACCCTGAATTGAACCTAATACTCCAATAATATTAGCTATTGTTTTTATAGAACCTGCTATGTGCCGGGCACTGTTTTAAGAGCCTTACAGATGCTAAATCATTTAGTCCTTATAAGAACCCTATAATGATTATTATACTATTGTTAGCTCAGTTTTCCCAATAAGAGAATTGAGGCTCAGAAAGGTCAAGTAATTTTTTCAGGGTTACATAGCTAATAAATGGTGGAGCTGGAATTTAAACGTAGGCAGTTTGGTTTTAGAGTCTGCTTTTCTTCTGACAGTTTTGTTTTACTGCCTTTCTGTGACACTTAACCAGGACAGACTATAGGGTTATTACTTTCCATGATCTAGGTACTTATTTTAGCCTAGCCCTCTTAATTCCATCATTTAAAACAATTTTTTTAACTTAAATAAATGATGTTACATCATCCTCATTTAATTTCATCTTATATCAGTGTAATTTCTCACTTGTTGGCTAGAAGCTTGGATCTGTTATCATATGTAGTTTTCATATTCTTTTGAATTATTTGTCACACTTTTAGTGCATATTACGTTGCTGAATTAAGTATGACTAAGGGAAGCACTGTATGCAAAACTTGCCCCATTCACAACTTACTTTAAAAATCAGATATAAAAGAATAGGAAGAGAGAGATTTCATTTAGATTTTTTTAAGACTACCATCTGTCTGAAATATTTTTATCTTGTTTAATTTTGTGTCATATTTTAAACATAAGCATTTATAGACTAGTTTGTATTTTATTCAATACTTTATAAGTAATACTTTAAAAATAGTTAGTTATTAATCTCAATTAATAACAGATTAATATCCATTGTTTAAATTGCTAAGACAGATTAAAATAAAAATCCAAGTAGCTTTCACCACTGTAATACATTCTTAAAGAGGCAACTATGGCAGCCTTGCTTGACAACCACCCCCAAATAAAACTAAAACCTAATAAATTAAAACCCATATGAAACAATTTTATATTGCATTTCAGCAAACATTTATTGATTTTTACATAAGGTTCACAAGGAAAGGGACTTTTCCTTTCTTGCTCACTGCTGTCATTTCTAGCACTTTCCTAAGAACCTAGCCTTAACACATTGTAGGTACTCAGTAAATAATTGTTGACTGAACAAATTATTGATTTTGTCAGTCCTAGGGTTTGGGAACCAAAATTCAATAAGATACTGATTCTGTCTTCAAGGAGCTAAATAGAATTTTTTTTTAACCTGGGTAGATAATTTTATGTGCTCAGACGAGGTGAGTGCCTCCATTATACTTAATCATAGTTTTTTGCTGCTTTTTTGCATTAGTTTCCATTCTTGTAATTATTGAACTCATCAGTTGCATGTTTAATATTAATCTTTCATATTAGACTGCAAGTTTCTCGAGAGTATTTATTTCTCTATCTGAGTTCCATGCCTAAAACATGATAGGTATTCATAAATATTTGTTCCTAACTGACTGACATATACTGAATTGGTCATTTTTAGGAAACTATAGCACAGCTTTTTTTAATACTTATTTTATGCTTGGAAAATTGTAAGCTTATGCCTAGCAAGATATAAGGTTTTTAAGGTTTGTGTAGTGCACTACACTGAACATGATGAAGATTTTAAAAGGATATAATGGTCATAGCTCTATGGCTCAATAGTTCAGAATGTTTTAAGGGATATAGAACATTAAAAACATATGACAACATGTAACACTAATTGTTGCCCCGTAAATATTAATTCTAGTTTATAGCATTTAGTATGTCTATTTGTTAGATGTTTATTAAGCATTTGCTCTGTTCAAGGTAGTGTTATAGACGACAAATCAATGGCCAGATTCCTTTCCTCAAGAAGCCTATAATCTGACTTGGAAGATAGAATTGTATGCATTATTAATTATTGCAGGGCATGTAGTAAGGTCCAAAGAGTAACTAAGAACTCAAGAACATCAAGATTAATGATCATAATTTTAGGGTCTCTAGTGATTTGGCTAATAATTCATTCAGAAAAAATATTTTGATGGTAGGTTAGCAATAACCTGTAATCTATAGTAAGAAAGGTTTGACATTAGTATTTTCAAATTTTAGTAAATTCTTTCCATTTTTTCTTTCTTTATTATTACTATTACATATCACTTTAACTAGAGGTTAGTTCAATAATACGGGAATGAACAGAGAATTATCAGAATATTTAGCACAGGCATTATCCCTATAAGTGATTCAGAGAAAGCTTCTCAGAGCAGGTAACATTTGAGTTCATTTTCAAGGATGAATACAGTAAAAGTAACTCTAAGCTGTTTAGGAATTGAACATTGGCATCAGATTTATTGTGGCCAAGAATAGGACTTGTCTAGAATTATATTATTTTTGCTTCATCAAGTATTTGTTGAATTAGAAGGAATGATATAGTTATTTAGTAGCAAAATAACACATTCCAAATTATGGGATAGGGTAAAAACATAAACATTTTAATAGAAAAATTAAGTGCTTTTACATATACATTCAGTTGGTTTAGAATTATGTTCACTTTTTCATTCTTTCATTTATTAATTTATTCAAAAATATTAGATGCATAATTTTACCAAGATGTTTTAGCTGAGTCCAGGTCTTCCACTTACAGCTGTGTAACCTTGAACAAGTCCTCTCTGAACCCCAAATTCTTTTGGTGTTGGTACTAGAATTTAGTAAAAATGTTAGGGAAAATACTTTCTAAACAGAAAGAGATATATAAATGTAAGGTGATATTTATTAGAATTATTATAAAACTTTTAAATAATGGACCTTCTGAATTATAATGAAAAACATTAAAGTATAAGAATAATGCTATATAGTGTGCATAGATTTTCCTAATTATTTGAAATTAGGGTTTCCAGGTAAAATAAACTATGAAGTGGAGTTCAAATGTTCAAATTCAAACTTGAAATCAATTACTGTACATTTAGGATTGTTAAACTTGTTATAAGTATCAAGCTTTATTTTCCAAGTATTTGATGTTACCATTTGCTTGATTATTTATTTCTGTTCTGTAATGTAGTTGCTATGTTTAAAATATGTATTTTGCCAAGTAAGTATTTTAAAATAACATACTTTAAAATGATTTAAGGAATGAAGAACAATTTGTTTGTCAAAATGACTCACTTAAGGTGAGGGATAACTGTGGCTTTAAAATTTCTTAAATGTATTAGTCATCTCCTGGTAGATATTAACTTAATAATTCAGATGTACTTTATCCACAGTATCAGCAAATTTGGAGACACACATTTAAAATCTGGTGAAACCCATCTTTGCCAATTCTGTCTTGATATCAGAGGTGAAATTAATTTTCATTGCTTGGTTAAACGTTGATAATTTAATTATAAAGGAAAAAAAGTAATGCTGAAGACGTATTTTAATGGCTAAATCACTGACTAGTGAAACCTCATTAACTTAGGATTTAGGGATCTGGAAGATGACACCTAACTAAGGAGTTCAAGTGCTAGCATTTCATTTTAAGCTTCTAGATAGTTCTACCTATCAGCAGCTTGGAATGAAATTGAATATATATACAATTTAACATGCATTCATCATGGTCCTTGTCTTCTCCTTTGTTGACAGTTGCTTAAGAAAGGTTGCTTTCTTACATGAATAATTTGAGATTTGTCTGCAGTTAAAATTACCTGGTTTTAAGGAATGGTTAAGATCTAATTTCCTATTGAATCACATGTCCTTTGCATTTAAAGTTCAGATGACGTTAAGGTATTGGTAAAAATGACAGTATCTGAGATTTGAATTAAGTTCTTCATGGCCCCACCGAAAACAGACAAACAAATTGTTATGGTAAGGATTTATTCATCCTTGAAAAATGCTCTGCTTCAGTAAAATTGTCTTAGCTTTGTATCAAATCTATGATTTTGAATGACAGATTTTAAAATGGAAATAGCAGAGCAATGGAATGTCTTTTTTTAATAGAAGTAAATTGTTTATACAGAGGACTTGACCTCTTAGAGCATGCTCTTCTTCACAAATAACAAATTAGTATTAAATGTGTGAGTAATATGACATGACAAATAAAACCATTTTTGTGCTCTTTATCTATAGGTACTCAAGTAAAAAAGTAAAAAATTTCCTGTAGCAAATAGGTATAATTCATGCTTCATCCATTATTTTTGTTTTTATCTGAGATAAGGATTTTAGTGGCCCAAAGAAAAAGCTTTTTAGCAGTGATATTTGCTAAAAGAAAAAGCCGAAGTTCTGTGTGTGTGTGAGTGTATGTTTTTAAAATGGATAAAATTGTACTCTCCATTCAACTTTTAGACATATGGATGAAGTTAGGGGAAATTTTAAGCTGGTGGGCTAATGTATTCTAGAAGTAAAGTGTTACAGCCCCCGAGAAAACTGGATGCTGTAGAAATATGGAAGACTGAATAATTCTGGAGACCGTTCATGAGAATTTGTTGGCCTTTGTGACTAGTTTGATATGGGAGTAGAACAAAAGAGAAGAACGTTTTGTGTTTGTTTTTAAAGTACTTTAGTCATATGCTCAAAGAGGGAAAAAAAGAACAGTTTTGCCTTGATTCTAATGAGGTGACTACTAAGGATTATTTCTCAAAATGGCAAACTTCATGGGAAATTGATGAGAAGCAGGCAAATTTTTTTTCATCCATTTCGGTACCACAGTTAATTATTTCAGTAAGTTATGTGTCATCCTTGTGAGCACATCTGCATGTACCAGTATGTTGGTATACAAAGATGTCTATAAAAGATATTTTAAATCCAAGCAATAAGCTATTTTACTTTGAATTTAAACAGTAGTATTTACTGTGTCACTCTGGGGTTCTCTTCTCTTCTTTGTAAATAAAGGGATCAACATGAAGTTCAGTTAACCCTTGAACAACATGGGGGTTAGGGGCACTGACCCTCACGCAGTCGAAAATCCACATACAGCTTCAGTTGGCTGTCCGTATGGGCAGTTCCCCATCCATGGATTCAACCAACCATGGATCATATAGTATGTATTTAGTGGAAAAAAATTTGCGTATGGGTAAGTGGATCCATGCAGTTCAAACCCATGTTGTTTAACTATCAACTGCAATTGTTTTCAAACATAGTTCCCTTGAGTTCTATAGAACAGCACTCTGCTGTCACCTCTTAGGGGAAGGAGGGAGTATGGCTCCAGGAGTCCTTCATCCCTGCTTCAACTAGAGTAATTCTGCTTTCATCTATTTTACATACTGGGATTTTCTGTCAGATTTTCTAGCACTAGTTTAAAAAAAGAAAACCATTGGTCTGTGTGATCCCTAAGGATTTTTTCAGTTCAGACACTTTTAGTCAGTGTTAAATAAATTCAGCTTGGCTAATCTACGCAAATTATTGTCACCATAATGAAGTAGAAAGAGAACTTGTATTTGAATCCTCATTCTGTTGCCTATGACCCTCAAATACGCACTTAATGTCCCAGGTTTTATTTTCCAACTATAAATGAGATAGTGTACTTACTTTGCTTAACATTGAATTGTTTGAAGGTCAAACTTATGGTCCCAATTTGCTTATGTAATTCAGGTTAGATCAAGAGTCAGCAAACTTTTTCTGTATAGGGCTAAATAGTAAATATTTTAGGCTTTGCAGAGCATGTAAGGTCTGGCCCATGGGCTGCACTTTGGCCCATGGCTACAGTTTGCTGATCCCTACTTTTATTATTACTGATTACTTAAAATTATTAATTGCCAAAACCATCAATAAGAATATTATAAATTAATCCCAATTAAGAGCAAAATTTACCCTTTCCTATCTAGTTTGATTTTTGGTATCATTTATCTCCACTACCATATAGTAATCAGATTATAATTTGTGGGAGTCATTCAGAACTGGCTCTGTGTCTCCTTGGTTTTGATCAGTTATAAAAGTACATAAAGTATTTTTTTTTAAGATAGAAGCTGAAGTCATTGAATTGAATCGTTCTTTTCTTTTTTTAAAATTTTATTTATTTTTGGCTACATTTGGTCTTTGTTGCTGGGCGCAGGCTTTCTCTAGTTGTGGAGAGTGGGGGCTACTCTTCGTTGTGGTGCGCAGGCTTCTCATTACGGTGGCTTCTCTTGTTGCAGAGCACAGGCTCTAGCTGCGCGTGCCTCAGTAGTTGTGGCACGTGGGCTCAGTAGTTGTGGCTCGCGGGCTCTAGAGTGCAGGCTCAGTAGTTGTGGCACACAGGGCTAGTTGCTGTGCGGCATGTGGGATCTTCCTGGCCCAGGGCTTGAACCCATGTCCTCTGCATTGTCAGGTGGATTCTTAACCACTGCGCCACCAGGGAAGTCCCCATAAAGTATTTTAAAAAGTACATCAGTTTGATATATAGTCCGTGAAATTTAATTTGCCTGCATTTGATAAAGAGCAAGTTTAAAAAGTAAAGTTGAAAAAAAAAAAGTCAAGGTGAAGGAAAATGGAGTTCACTGTATGTTTTTTATAATGTTCTTTAAAACACATTTTTAAGCAGTAATTATTCTTATTTTATTTAGGATTTATTTTTATTATCCTCTTGCAGCCTGTGTAAGTTCCTCTATGAATACTGAAGCTTCATTGGACAACACAGATGATGAACCATCAAAACAGCCAATTAAAACTACAATAGTGTTCAAAATTCAGCAAAACATAGGTATTATATTTCTTCTATAACATTGAAAAGATGGTATTTTGGATTTGAGTTTTCTTGTTACTTTAAAATTATTTTCATTTCATTTCTTAAAAGAGCTAGATTAAGCTAGTATTTATTGAGTATTATAGAAAGTGGTACGCCCTGAGAGATAGAAAGATTTATAAATAAAACATTGTCTCAAGTGCCCTAAAAGATGACACTTCCTATGAAATGTTTTGGTGTTTTTAGAAGAAACACATGTTGAGTTTTGGGAATCAATTAGTATAGTAGGGCCAGTGTTTTCCAAGCTGGTGTTCCCAGGATTGCTATTGTGGAAGATTTTGATAGGTGCTCTATGAAAAAAGTCAAGTTCAAGTCTGGAAATTCTAATGTATTTTAGTATTTTAAAGGCTCCAAGAAGTGTGGCAGTCACTTTAACATTTTTCAGACTTATTGATCAAAGAACATGTAGACTTTTGTTTAGTTGAATGCCAATTTGAGAAATGCTTTATAAGCATTAAGATTTTTGACTGAGAGAAGCCAGAAACTTTGGTTATTTTTCATGTCAGTTACTCATAAGTTAAGTTAATTACCTAAATTCTTTGTACCTAAGTGTGTGTGTGTGTGTGTGTGTGTGTGTGTCTGTCTGTCTGGACTACTATGGTCAGTTTTCTTTTTGTTGTTGTTTTTTAACTTAAAATACTCAGGAAAAAAAATTAAAAGTTACCAACCCAAGCTTAATAATTCTTAGATTTTAGTTTCTGTAGTTTTCAATAGCTATATAAATGACTTCGTATGGTAATTACTGAGGACTCCTGCCCATTGGAGATGTCTTTCTGGTTTAAGCTAAGTAACATGAGACAGCTGAAATGTCAATATAAATATTTATAGAAGCCTTTTTAAGTATGTATTAGTTTGTCTCTTAGATGTGTGTGAGTGCACTCATGTATAAGAAAGATAATTTTTTATTTTAAGGTGTTAACGAAGGTGGTGAAGTATATGATTACCAGTCCAACTTTGTAAAATATAATTTTCAACCTATTGCTATATTTTCCTCTAAGACTTTGCTGGCTTTTCATGCCTGTATATGTGTGTGTGTAAGTATATGTATTTGTGTGTGTATGTTGTTCTTGTTGTTTAGGCCCATCAGTTACCGACATTTCAAAGCCTAGGATCACTTAAGCCTTTCTTTTGCTCATTCCATTTCCATTTGTTTTGTGTTTGTTTTACTTTTAGGTGTGATTGCAGCATTTGCAGTTGCAGCCCTTGCTGCGGGTATCTCCTTTCATTACTTCAGTGATTAGGGTGAGGCACAAAGAGCTTCCTGATCATCCAGAGAACACTGACCAACAATTATGAATAATAATGATGCAAACAATCCATCTGCGTCTAAGACAATAGCAGTCAGATCTGCTGCCATAATGCCTATTAGGTGTGTTTCTGACTAAAATGAAATCACCAGCTGCCTTGTTTAGCCCTGCTTATATTATAGGTGGCTCAGGCTTCCAAGAATAAAGTTATGAATCTAGATGGAAGTTGCATGTAACAAATCGTTATTATCTATTTTTTAAAATGTTCAAAATGATGGTTTATTTTCATAGATTTTAGTCCTGTTGACCTGAACCACATATTGATCAGGACATTGGAAATTTGAATAGTCAGGGTTGACTGACTATATTAGTAATAGAACAATAGAAATTTCTGCAAAGTGGGGCAAAAACTTATTGGATAAGTTCATAGTTTAGGACCTTTCTATACTGATTCCAAAATACTGATTGAGTTCCATTTGAGGGGTAGGAAACCTCTCCAGACCTCTTGAATCAGCAAGGATTGTCATAAATCATGAGCTTTCTCTGGTTAGTATATCATAACCTAATATATTAAATAAGACTTTTGCTTCCAGTAATATATTAGGTACTGCAAAACAGCTAGATCCTGAATAAAATCTCCTTTTGAATACATTAATAGGCTCAAAGAAAGTAGGGGAAATCTCCAAGAACTACACCTCTATTTTTTCTCCCTGACAAAATGAACACATTTTGATATGGAAATTGTGAAAACTATATTAAGCATAAGGTTGACAGTGGTTGCCTGGGTGACAAATACCAATTGCAGCACTGCCATATGCAGTTTTCCTTAGACCAGAAACAAGGAGATAAATCTGAATCTGAGATGTCCCATCCAGGACAGTTGAAGTGGGCCTCAGTTTGTAATACCCTATAGTTCCTGGCAGAAACAAGATGTAGGCCCCAGATTCCCATAGATTAAGATAAGCAATATTATTTATGGCTGGAGATCACCAGGTGCAAGTTGAAACTAGCTAGCTTGAGAAAGAACCTGTAGATATAAACTTTGGACTCAATTTTCCAAGGTCTTATCATCAACATACATGAAGGATGGAACCACAGACTGATCTGAAAAAGAAACAAGTGGAACTGCTTGATGAGAAATATGTTACTTGCAGTTTAAAAAAAGAAAAACCCTTAGACATGTTGAATATCATATTAGACTCAGCTGAAGAGACAATACATAAACTGGAAGCTAGATATAAGGAAATTACCCAATGTGCAGCCAGGAGAAACAAGGTGCTAGAAAATATAAATATTAAGGAAAAGATAAGAGATATAGAAGGAAGAATTATGAATACTAGAAGTACCAGCAGAAGAGAATAGAGAGGATGGAGGAGTGGCAATATTTGAAGAGATAACAGAATTTTCCACATTTGTTGGAAAAACACGAATTCATAAGTTCAGGAAGCACAATGTATCCCAAGCATATATAGATAAAATCCAAGCCTAAACCCAGTGTAGTATAACTGTGAGATACCAAACAGAGGATTCTTAAAGAAATCAAAGGGGGAAAAAGATTATCAGTGAAGGCAAGACAGATACTTCAGAAAGCTTCTCAACAGCAACAATGTACTCCAAAGGTGGTAGAATAGTGCCTTCAAAATTCTGAGAAAAACAATTGTCAACTTGGAATCTGTATGAAGCAAAACTGAAATAAATACATATTCAAGTGAAAAACAGATTTTACCATTGGTGGAACTTCTTTAAAGAAATTGCAAAAGGATTATCTTCAAGAAGGAAAATAATTCCAAAAGGATGATCTGAAATTGAAGAACTAGTAAGCAAATAAATGAAAAACATGTAAATCAAAAGTGTTGTTTGTATAAAACACTCGTAATGAAAGAAGTGTTTATAAGAAGCAAGATTGTAACTAAATAAAACTAAATAAACATTTTATGCAACATTAATGTGGACTTTTAAAATAGGATATAATTGAAAAACTGGACAGTAGCTTATAAGATGGGGGGTGATTAGAATTAAAGTGTTCTGAAGTGTTTTATTATTCAGAAAATGGGTTAAGGTACTGTTTAACTTTGAAATTATGTTAAATATGTGTAGTAAAATTTCAGGTGTAACTGCTAAATAATAGATATGGGATGAATCATTCCAAAGAAAAAAGTTAAAAATATGGAATAAGACAATACCTCAATACAAAAAAAAGGGAAAGAAATTAGGGGTGGGGGAAGTCGAAAATTAGTAAGATAAATAGTAACAAGTCAAATAATTAAAATAACTATGAATAGGCTAAACCCAGTTAAAAACATTGATTCAGTTTTTAAAAAATCAGCTATAGGCTGATATGGGATTTTTTAAAGGATAAAAAAATGCACTAGGCAAATAGCAAAAGAAAACTTATGTAGCTTTGGTGCTATCAACTCAAAATTAGACTTTATTATATTATTATTAAAGATGGAGAAGACCACTAAATAATGGTAAAAGGATCAATTTATTAGGAATATATACAATTTTAGATTTGTATATGCTTTATAAAATGGCCTCAAAATGTATAAACTAGGGCTGAACCAACAAATTGAACAGCAGTGGGTGATTTTAAGAGCTCTCAATTACTAATAAATCAACTAGACAAAAAATGAATGAAAACACAGTTTTGAATAATGCAATTAACAATGCTGATTCGATGAACATATTTAGAATAATCAACAGAATATTCTTAAGCATTGTGTATTAGCAAAAATTGACCATGTATTAGGTATGAAGTAAGTTACAATAAATTTCAAAAAATTAGTATTAAACAAATAATAAGAAATAACTTAGGTTAATTTTTTTTAATCATGGTTTTACAAGTTTAAAAAAACTTCATAGATGAAAAAAAAAACATAATTAGTACCTAATTATAAATACTACATTTGGAAAAATTGGATGATGCAGCAGAAAGAGCGCTTAGAGGGGAATGGTTTTAAATGCTTAAATTAAAGGCTAAGTGTATAACTTAGGAAAAGGACAACAGAATAAACACAGTATAGAAGCAAGGAGTCAGAGGAAAGGAAAGAAATCAATGAATTAGAAAACATAGAATCACAATGTCAAAGTTGTTTTCATGACAAAACAAATTGGCATATTTGAACAAGAAGAAAACAGGGCTAAAGTAAACAATATAAAGATTGAAAAATGGGTCCTAACCCACAGCAGAGATGAAAATGATAAGAGACTACCAGGAGCATCTTAATGTATGAAAACAGACAAAATAGACCAAGGTCTAGAAAAGTGCCATTTCCTTAAATTGGCTGAAGAAGAAATACACAAGCTACATGGACTTAATAGTATTGAATAGAAAATACTTCTAAAATTTTTGATAAAGAACATCTAGCTCATGCTTACAGATGTTTTACTCTTTCAACGACCATACTATTTCAACATACAAACTCTTCCAAAGAATATATAATGAGGGAATACTCTTCAGCTCATTTTGTGAGGCCTGTATAACTTTTATTGATACTAGAACCAGACACATTTGGTAGGAGAAAAGAAAATTACAGACTAATAGCACTTATTAAGACAGATCTGAAAGTCAAAACCATTATTGATGAACTGAATTCAACATTATGTAAAAAAGGATAATGCATCATGGTGAAGTTGCATACATTAAAAATCAGGAACATGACAAGGATACCTATTATCACTACTATTCATCAATGTCCTATAAAAAAATGAGTAAAAGACAGAAACCAGGTACCCTTAAACACATGAAACACATGAAAAGATGTTTAATTTCAAGTGATCAACTAATTAAGACTGCAATGAATAATATTTCATCTGACAGATTGAAAAATTAAGAAATATGCAATACCAATGAAGAAGATGTACATCAAGAAGATATCTAAAGGTGGAGTTGTAAACTAATAAACTTTGGAAAGCAATTTGGCATTATCTTGTAAGGGTAAGCATCTGTGTACTCTAAAACCTAACCATTCTACTTCTACATACATACCTTAGAGAAATTCTTGCATTTGTGCACAAGAGTACGTGTGTGGGAATGTTCAAGGCAGCCCTGTTTGAAACCACCCAAATGTTCGCTGACAAGAGAATAAAAAATAAATTGTGGATTTTGTAATTTTATTTGGCAGTGAGAATGACCTGAGAATAAAGTGATGATTAAATAAAGCAAGTCTTAGAAGCCTACATGCAGTTTTATAAAGATTAAAAACAAGCAAATCTAAACTATATTATGTTGGAACACATATATTTGTGTAAACTCTTTTGTTGTTTAAGTAAAGGATCATGTAAAAACTCATGGTTACGATTTCAGAGTGAGAGTGATGGCAGGATAGGAAGGCAAGAAGGAACAAATGAACAAATGAAACAGTATTGGTGATGTTTTAGTTCTTGAGTTGAAATGAGTTTTTCTTTAATTGATGTATAGTTGATTTGCAGTGCTGTGCTCATTTCTGCTGTAAAGCAGAGTGACTCAGTTATACACATATATACATTCTTTTTTTTATATTCTTTTCCATTATGGTTTATCCCAGGAGATTGGATATAGTTCCCTGTGCTGTACAGTAGGACCTTGTTTATCCATTCTAAATATAATAGCTTGCATCTGCTAACCCCAAACTCCCAGTCCATCCCTCTCTCTCCCCCGCCCCTTGGCAACCACATCTGTTCTCTATATCCGTGAGTCTGCTTCTGTTTTGTAGATAAGTTCATTTGTGCCATATTTTAGACTCCATATATAAGTGATATCATGTGGTATTTGTCTTTTTCTGACTGACTTCACTTAGTATGATAATCTCTAGTTGCATGCATGTTGCTGCAAGTGATATTTCATTACTTTTTATGGCTGAGTATTATTCCTTTGTATATATGTACCACATCTTCTTCATCCATTCATCTGTCGATGGACATTTAGGTTGCTTCCATGTCTTGGATATTGTGACTAGTGCTGCTTTGAACATAGGGGTGCATCTGTCTTTTTGAATTATTGTTTTGTCTAGGTATATGCCCAGGAGTGGGATTGCTGGATCATATGGTAACTCTATTTTTAGCTTTCTGAGGAATTTCGTACTGTTCTCCATAGTGGCTGCACCAACTTACATTCCCACCAACGTTGTAGGAGGGTTCCCTTTTCCCCACAGTCTCTCCAGCATTTGTCATTTGTAGAATTTTTAATGATGGCCATTCTAATCAGTGTGAGGTAGTACCTCATTGTAGTTTTGATGTGCATTTCTCTAATAGGGATGTTGAGCATCTTTTCATGTGCCTACTGGCCATCTGTATGTCTTCTTCGGAGAAATGACTATTAAGGTCTGCCCATTTTTTGATTAGGTTTTTGTTTTTTTGTTGAGTTGTATGAGCTGTTTGTATATTTTGGAGATTAAGCCCTTGTCGGTTGCATCATTTGCAAATGTTTTCTCCCATTCTGTAGGTTGTCTTTTCATTTTTTAATGGTTTCCTTTGCTGTGCAAAAGCTTGTAAGTTTGATTAGGTTCCATTTGTTTCTTTTTTGAAATGAGTTTCTTGATCATTTTATTTACTTCATGACATTTATGTATGTGTTATTTTGGTTGTCTGTTACTAAAAAAATACCCCCAAACTTAACTGAAACAACAACCATTTCATTTTTCTAATAATTCTGAGTTGACAGGAATCAGTTGGCTGATTCTGCTCTACATGGTGTTGTCTAGAGCTACAATTTTCTAGGAACCTGATTGGGCTTGAAACATCCAAGACAACTCTTTCACATGGTTGGCAGTTGATGCTGGCTGTTTGCTGGAAACTCAGCTATCACACCTCAGTTCTCTCCATGTGTCTTGTGGTTCTTCTATCATGGTGGCTGGACTTCTTCCTGTCATGATGGCTGGGAGCCAAGAAGTAGCATCCCAAGTGTGAGAGTTCCAAGAAGAGAAAAGTAGAGGCTGTGGGTTCTCTTGAAGCCCTGGCTTGGAAGTCTCAGAACATCATTTTCACTATATTGTATTGGTCAAACTAATCTACAGGACCAGCCTAGCTCAAAGGGGACAGGGGAGAAGAACCTTTACCTCTCAATGGTTACGCATATGCAAGAAGAAAAGGGCTTGATGGAAGCCATCTTTGGAAATTAGTTACCATAATATACCCCGGGTTATAGCAGTTCATGTTCCTGACATGTGGAAAATGCATTCACCACCTCCCCAGACACCTGAAAGTCTCGTCTTGTGTCATCAGATTGAGGCTCAAGGCTCATAATTTTGTCATCTAAATTGGTTTCAGGTACACATGGGCAACCTTTACTGCCGTTGCTCTCAATCTAAAGATGCATGAACTAAAGAACCAAGTTTTCTTCTCCATACTCATCCAGCATACAATGGCAAGACAGGTAAGAGCCACTGTTGTTCAAAAAGAGGGAAAATTGGAGGTACAATGCAGTGAATGCTCCATAACAATTCTGAACTCCAGTGGGACACATGTCTAATTCGTCATGATTCTATGAGCAGAGAATGTATGTCAATTAGAACCTAATTCTTCTTGAGAGTGGTCCTCATCTCTTGGCTCTTCCATACAAGATTTTGGCTCTACTCTGAGTCATTTTCCACGAGAAATGGCTCATATTTGAAGCTGAGTAGCTTCCTCAACCTGCCTCCTATTGAAGCAGGTTAAGAAAGGTTCAAGGCCCAGAAGCATCTTTTTATTTTGAGCTGTCTCTCCCTTTTAGACTAAACTGATATAATTCCTTTTAAAATCATGTATTTACTGTGAATCAAATTATCCATTCCATTAGACAAAAGGCACACCCACAAATGTTCAAGACGGACCTCTCTCTTTCTACTTTGAGCAGAGAGTCAAGGTGCTGAAGGACGATACCCTTAAAAATCTTAGATACCCATTGTCTAGCTAAGAGGAGTACAGTCTTTGCTGATAAGATTCTTTTAAGTCTTTTTGTATAGCTAAGAGATCTGTGAGGCACTGGCTT